CTCACTTGTCTTTGTCGTTCTCCTCATGTTTTGTGAGGTTGCAGAGCTGCAGTGTGTCCAGTTGTTGAGTCACTTCCTCTGCCCAGCGACAGTTGACCAGTTCCCTCAGCTGAAGCGGAGCTCTGAATACAATAGAAGTTTGATTAGCAAAAAGAACCATATACATGTTTGTTAATATTACTTTTTTTTTTTAGAATAGAGAGAGGACAGAGGATTAAGACTGGTATGCATGCTGGATTAAAGTTGATTCTATAAAAATTATGCAATGTTTGAATTTTTTTCTTTTTAGATCAACCAAAAGCAAGTATGGGATATGGGATGAATGTGTGCCAGCACTCCAGATAAAGGAGTTTTTGTTTGAGCTTTAATTATAAAGCTGTGGTTTGAACACACTTCAAACTGCTTTGGCAATTATGTAAGTGTGTTTCTATTGCCAAATATCAGGTGGCTCTGGTCCAGCTGTCTAAAGTTTTTTTTTTTTGGATGCGGTTCCCTTAATGTAACTAATCAGTGCTTCCCTGAAATGATCTCATTCTGCAAACTCTAACAATAGAAAAATCAATACTTAATCCTCTAGATTTACCTCAAAGACTGTCAGAGCTCAAAACATCATTTGAATTTGAACCTCAGAACTTACCGACAGTGGGGACACTGAGCTCTCTGTTCAGTCAGCCATCGCTGCCAGGAAGAAAACAGAAGAGCAAAATTTACTCATTTATAAATGCTACCTTGTCTTAGCCTCCGAATCAATAAGAGGTCAATTATTAAAATACATTATGTGTTTTATTAGTGGGATTCTCCGCAACATGGCACACTTGGAAAGCATTTAAAAACATCTACACTGCTCATTACTCAAAGTGTTTTGGCAAAAACAACTGAAATATATCTCTCAGATCTCAAGTGAAATGTGACGTGTATAATATCGGTGTATGATAATAATAATAATAATATTAAACACGCTTTAAAAATCTTATTCAACCAAATCCATAATATATAAATTTAGTCATGTCCTGTCAAGCTGACACAATAAAGAGAGCACAGAGAGCGTTTATTAATTAGACAGACACTGTGAGCTCCTCTAGGCTGTGTGTGGTATGATCATTGTGCTGTTAATGAGTGTGTATGCATGTGTTTGCTCACCCGGATGCAGCTGAAACAGCACAGTTTGGAACAGTGAGGGCAGAGACGAGCATCACGCAGCTTTTCCATGCAAATGAAGCAGCGGAAGACTTCCGCTATACTCTGAAGAGTTAGTTGATACATGAACACATTACCAAGTTAACGCGAGACTAATAACATTCACTACAATATAATCAAACCGTTTATGTTCTTAAAGCAATAGTTCACCCAAAAATATAAATTTGTTTAAAATTTATGGGGTTCTTCATCTGAACAGATTTGGAGAAATTTAAAGGGGTCATATGATGCGATTTCAATTTTTCTTTTCT